ACCACATAGATAAATTTCATTTTTCGATAGCCCTTTCAATTCAAGATATGAGCATTTTTTTTTTTCGGCTAACTTAATTCAAAATAGAAGTAATATAATACATAAAAAAAATCATTTTACCCATTGTATAACTTAGATCTTGTGTGAATTTATACTTCACTTATCATAAAATACATTTATAATTGAGATTAAAGGTAAAAAAAATAATATATATTTTTATGAGAATAATAACGTGTGCAAATTTTTTAAAAAAACTATTTTTACTTTGGACCAAAAGATGTATAGTTTAATCTAGTTTCTTTTCTGCACGGAACTAAAAATAGAATATCCATCATATTTTTATAATAAGAAAAGGTTGAGGTAAGTGAAACCTAAAAACTTACCAAAACTAGGATATATCTCTAGAATATTCATCATTTCATTGGAGGACTATAGCACGTGGTTATCTTATACTAGATGTTTGCAAAGATTGGCTATCAAGTGTTCACCACTTTCTAGGCAAATGTCTTTGGTAGCAAAGGACCATCTTTTGTATGTAATGGAATATAATGTTAAGGAATAAAATGCAGTGCAACCATGATGATCATATATTTGTTTGATATTATATATATATATATATATATATATATATATATATATATATAAAGTCCTACCCAGGCCAACACCCTCCTTCCTGGACGATGGCTTTCCGACAACATCACTATCATTGATCAACAACTTTGCCGACATTGACCATACTCAACAAGATAATCAACCAAGAAAAACGTTGATTTGTGTAAGGATAAATATCAAGTTTAAAGGAGGGTCCTCAATTTGATATGAATTATTGGATAAAGGTGATGGGAACAAGGATTATATAGGTTCAATAATATTTTTTTTTAAATCTTCTTTACCTTATATTGAACTAATCAAATAACGGGAATGTCCATGTGCATGGGTTATAGGTTAATATCTATAGCTTTGATTTGGTTAAGACTCACTCCTTGAGGTTTTTCTGGTTGCAACACAATCCTTTATTTTTCTCTACAAAATTATGATATTGAGCTTCACTTTATAAAGGATATAATGGTAACATAATATAAAGATGAATAATAGAAAAAAAAATAAAATTTTTTACAAAATACACTACTAGAAAAATGAAATTTAGTGAGGGATAAATTAAAAAGAAATTTTAGCTATGAAGTTAATTTAAGGATAAATTCCTTACTAAATGCTATTTTCCCTCATTAAAATCGTAACTAATAGATGACTCGTTAAATTTAGTGAGGGATCATCTTTTTATCACTAATATTATTCAAAATTTGATAACTTTAGCGAGGAATTAGTTCTTCGTTAGTCCCTCACTAAATATGTTTATGTTTAAAAATGATGATATCATATCACTCGTCATATGTACATTAACTTGTGACATGTAACTATATCATATATTCATTATATTTATACCAAAGCTAAGATTTCAACTCTTGACCTCCTACCTTTTAAGTTTTATGCTTTCTTTTTTACCAGTTGAATTGAAAGATACCTGCAGTCATTATATGAAAAATTAAATATATATTATTTAACAACACAAATATATCAGATAATATATTATAAAAAAATGCACACACATTAGATTTTATTTTCAATTATTAATATGTTAAAAGTATTTATATTTTATTTAAATTATTCTTTATATTATATTTTTAAAAAAATATTGTTTTATTAATGAAATAAAATTAAAATAAAAATATTAAATATTAAATAATCTTATTATAAATATTTTAGTCAATTTTAAATTCAATTTTTATTTTTAAATAAAAATAATTAAATGTATAATTAAAAGTCATTTGCCAAACGTCAAATTTTTTTGCAATAATTAGCAAGGAATTAATCTCTCACTAATTATCTTATTTTAGAGAGTGATTAATAGTCCCTCACTATTTATTTTATTTTAGAAAGGGATTGATAATCTCTCACTATTTTTTTTACTAATTTTAAATTAAGTTATAAAATCAATATTCCTCACTAATTTTCTTACTAATTGAATATTTTAGAGAGAAATAGATAATTTTTTATTAATTTACATTTTGTTAGTAGTGAAAAAATTGACTATTGAAGCATGTGTAGAGCATAAATATAAAGCAAAGTGGATGATATCATTATATATTTATATATATACACAAGGATACTTTGATGAAAATTTTAGTCATTAGATCACACATTTATTTGAATATTTTACTGCTATTGAATATTATTGATGATATCGATAACGACTTCTAGTACTGAGAGAAGTTTTTTTATTTTAAAATTGTGCAAATTCTACCAAAGATGAGCTATATCACAAGGCAAATTGAATGGATTAAATGCATTACTAATTAAGAGTAAAATGTTAAAATTATTTTATTATAAAACTTCGATAAATAGATGTTGCGGCTTAGAAAAATAAAAGGAATAATAATATAAGAATTTAGGAAACCTAAAAGAGTTCTAGACACTGTTCAAGGAAGAATAATTGCCAACTTTGAAATGGGTCTTGATGGTGAGCTGATTATTATTAATGACAAGGATGAAGATGCAAAATTAATTTCATATGTTCAAGGGCATTTAAAATGTGTATATATTCTTCTTTTTTTGTCAAAAAATGTGTATATGTTCAACATTAAAATGATAAGTCAAAATGAAATAGTAAATATACATTTAAAAAATTAAGCTGATCATAAGGGTTATAGTTTGAAAACTATGTCATTCACACTGTCACGTGTCAAACAATGGATGATTAGGAAAAAAAAAATGCCTATAAATCAAGCTGGACTAACTTATCAAACATGTAAACTAAGTAGACCAAAAAGCTTTAATATGAATATCATATGGTTGATAAATCTTTCTTCTAACCACCAAATGAATGAATTTAATTAAGTATTTTAAATTTGATGGTCCTGGAAGGGAGGGACATCTTCAAATTGCATCAAATTTATGGTACATTCAATGTTAATACAAAATAAACCTGCTTTATATTAATATATAAATTAGGAGCTTAGTCTCTCCTTCTCTTTCTCTCTCTAAAAAAGGGGGGAAGATATGGCCTCAAGTAAAATAAACAAGTAATATGCTTATTACTTGCTTTAATTTATCAGCCAAGAAAGTTGGTCTATATAAAAATGGGCTAATTTACTTTATCTGAACTCACCTAATTTAATAGGTTAGTCCAACAAGTCTTACTAATTCACAACTTTAATTTTGTGTCACCCATACTATGTTATAAGATCATTAATTAAAAAGATATCAGCCAAATGTTTTTTAGAAATTAAAGTCAAAGCCTACAATCTAAGGTATTAAAATCCTGACTGGTCATTTAATTAATTAAGATTTTAAATCATATCAAATTGATTATTTTATTAAATTGATCAAGACACTAAACATAATTAATTGGGGGTTGACTTAGATTTTCATACTACACTAAAATCCATCTTTTATTTGGGTTGGTCACCTCCAATTTGTCTCTCCAAATTTATCCTCATATAGGTTTGTGTCCCTTTTTATTTTATTTTGGATTAAATGACTGATATTTTGAACCTGCCCTACTTTCAACCAAAGAATTTAATGAAAGTCAAAGTAATTTAAATCATGTCGTGAAGAACAACAAAGTGGCAAATCTCTCCCATATCATATATTTAACATGACTGCATTTTGGGATTCAATTTTTAAACATGTTGTGTTGACTAAACTGGTCACCAAAACAAACCGTTGAACCAAACCAAGTATTAATTAGGGTTGCCTTTTAATTTTCTTTATGGTTAAAATGTATAAAACCTCCTTAAACTTTAAAACAGTTATATCTATTTTTCTTCACTTTTAAAAATTTAAAATTAACTCCCATAATCTTGAATTTTGTTTTTCAAAACCCTCTATTATTAATTATATTTTTTTTCATGAGGGTTAAAATGCCATTCAACTAAAAATATTATTAAACAAAATATTATATTGTATAACTATTTATAATAAATTTATTATATTTTTTAGATAGATGAGGCATTGATAATAACCAAAACAAATGTTATTATCACCATATAAAATTTTAAATATTTACTTTTGTGCTATTTTTTTTATTTTTTTGTTATCAATGTTGAATAGTTTTCTAGTATTAAAAAGATAAATTAACCTAACATGGTAATATTTAAAATTTTAAATATTTTAGCCATGTGTATTACATTAATCTAACATGAAAATATAAATAAAAATTTATTTTTTAAAATAATAAAATTATGCACCATTAATAACAAAAAAATATGGATAAAACTAATATAAACATAAATATTTAAAAATTTATACAGTGATAATAATATTTTTTTTATTATCCATGTCTCAACTATCTAAAAAATATAAAAAATTTATTATAAATAGTTATACAATATAATATTTTTGTTTAATAATAATTTTTTAATTGAATGATATTTTAACCCTCATAAAAAAATTACATAATTAATAATAGGGGGTTTTGAAAAATAAAATTAAAAGTTGGAGGAGTTAATTTTAAATTTTTAAAAGTGAAGGGGGTACATTGCAAGTGTCTCAAAGTTTGGAGGCATTTTATGCATTTTAGCCTTCCTCTATCACAGTCTGAGAGAATCTCTACGGGCGATGTCCGAATCTGGCCAGGACTCACGAGAGTTGTTAAAAAAATGGCCGTTTTAATAAGCATTGGCGCCATTAGAGGGTACTGAAATGCTCTCCAGCTAGTAGTACCCAGAAGGTCACGACACTGTTATCTCTATCGCCACCAACCTTTCAACATGGAATCTACGAACCCTATAAACTGCAGGACAACTTCCATTCACACAATACAGACAATGTTTTTTTTTTTTTAAATTAATTTGTCCTTGCACGAGTAACATGTTCTGCAATCTGCATTCAATATATTAACTCCGTTTACCTTAGTTGAGTTGTAGTTCTAACTCTAACGTTCTATATATAGATACATGCCTGAAGGCTTGCCTTTTGCTTGAGTGTGTGAACTGTGAAACTCTGTGAATAATGGAAGAAGTAATGAAGCAATGGAGCGAGAAAGAAGAAGAAGAAGAAGAAGAAGAAGCAGAGGTTGAGGTTCAAGAAGAGGGCTTAGTTAGACGCCAAGTTCACACGCAGGTCACCACCATTGTTACTACTTCAAGTATTGATATTCAAGGTACGCTATAATCAACTTCAAGCACAATAATGAAATCTTATCAGGTATATTTTTATTTCCCCATATTTTGGTATGACGTTGTAAAGACAAAATATATATATATATATATATATATTTTTTTGACATAAAAATATGTTATTAGTTTTTTGATAAAAATTGCCTTTCAAAATTTGTTGTTTCTTATGACGGGACAATCAACATATTTGGTATTTTTTTACCAGACCTTTTTCTCCTATATTTTTGTAGTCCTAATAGTGAATGAGTTAATAGAGAAAATAATGTATTTTGACTATTTTCCCTCTGTTTTACTAAAAAGGTCAGGGAAGAACCCTACAAAACAAATAAGGAGTGTTTAGTGAAAATCAAAAGATTAATATTTAAAATCATTTAATGGGTTTCCTACAAATAATAATTTTTCTTCAAAATCGCTTTTTTGTGCTTACGCTTTTCCCAGCTGCAGACCCTGTTTTTTTTTTTCTCTGGCTTGTTTTTGTCCTGCAGAAACATTAGATTTACTTGATTTTTTGACGCAAGAAGAATTCAAAAAGTTTATATGGTCTATGCTCTTTGTTATGAACTTATGATGACGAAGATGTGGGTTTTGCCGCACTAAAAAAATGAATTTATGTTTTGCTTTTATGGTTCAAGGAACATCAGGTTTAAGAGGACTCTTAGTTCCTTCTTTAATGAGGTTCATATAATGCAGGGCAAGTAACCTCTGAAACATATGATGTTTCCAGTGACATTGAGAAGAGCATTACTTCACTTTCCTCTGATCCTATCATTCCTGGGGATTCAACTTCTCCCCAGATTTTCACAATTGAAAGTGAAAAAAGTGAGTTTTTTTTTTTTTTTCCATTACTTAGGAAAATGAGTTTCCATTTTGCCTTTATAGTTCAAGGAACATCAGATTTAGGTGTACTCTTTATAGTTCCTTATTTAATAAAGTTCATGTAATGCAGGGCAAGAGATCTTTGAAACAAAGGACTATTTCAGTGACATAAAGAAAAAAAACATTGCTTCACCACCCTCTGATCCTCTCATTCCTGGGGTCTCAACTTCTCCCAAAAATGTGACAATAGAAAGTGAAAAAAGTGAGTTTTTTTTTTCTACTTAGTAAAGTGAGTTTCTGTTTTGCCTTTATAGTTCAAGGAACATTCAGATTTAGGAGGACTCTTTACAGTTTCCTTTTTTAACAAAGTTTATGTAATACAGCGCAAGAGATCTCTGGAACAAAGCTTTATTTCAGTGACATTGAGAAGAAGAACTTTGCTTCACCTTCCTCTGATCCTATTATTCCTGTGTATTCAACTTCTCCCAAATATATCACTACTGAAAGTGAAAGAGTTGGCATAATAACAGAGAATGTGCAATTGGTGAAAGAACTATATCTGGAAAGTCTTTATCAGAAGCCACCCACACAGGGATTCTATTGTCCCAATTGTAGGGCTTGTATCCAGAAAGTTTTGATTTTGGATACAGTGAGGGAAGAACCTGGTGTTCCTGCACAACCTCTTCCACCATTGGATAGATTCAGATGCTCAACTTGCTTCAGTTTCCTCATCCCAATAGGTAACAATTTCAAGATGACCAGTGCATTACACAGAATATGGGAAATGAGCTGCATTACCTGCAATTTTCTTATTAACAGTGTGACTTGATATGGAAAAGCATGCATTAAAAATTCTTCTGCATTTTTCAACAGGTAGTTGGCTCTTTCCTGGGTCGGCACATGGTCAAGAAGGTGAAGTGTTTCCTGAATCTATGTTATTTATTGGACAGCTCATACACACTAAAACACTTTTTTGACTTATGAGCTCGTCATCTGAATAATTTTTGTGGGGCACCCTTGGATTTATCAAGAAGTGAATTAACCATTTATATGTCATACCAATACAAACGTGGAACATAGCCTTACTAGATGAACACTAGTTTAATAAATGGTAGTGCATCTCCTTGATGATGAATTAACATGTTGTTATTTACTTTTGCCAATGAAATCGATGTAGAAGTGCAATATTTACTAACAGTCTAAAGAACCTTTCCAACTCAGCCTTTGGCTTTTGGATTAATCTTAATTCCTGAAATTTAAAATCAATTCAAGTTCTTTATTAAATTAATCTAAATGTTGACCTAGATAAATTTAAAACAGTCTCTTATTTCTGCACTGCTAACTATTTCCTCACCTAAATTTTAACCACCAGGCGTGAGATTATTTATAGAAAAGAAAGACAATACATTGCCTTTTATTCCTTATCTTAAAATTATCATCTGTGGATTCTTGTTGCCTATCATAAAATAAAAGAGCTTGTTGAATCTCAGGAAAATATCTACTAAAAGCAAATTATTCTTCAGAACAGTAATCTCATCATGCTTCAAGCATTATTGTCTTCATATTTTTTTCCCCAACAGAAATACCTGAAGATGTACAAGAAACAATGGTTCCAGCCCCTGATAAATTTCCTCCTGATTCAGGAAGTCAAATGTTGCAACCTGAACCAATAATTTCTGATGGCGCAAGTAAAACTCAAGGTAAGCATAATCCTTTCTTTATTTAATTGCTTGGGATATCTCAAACAGTTAATCAAGCTCAACAAAAAGACCTTACTAAGTACCATATAGTACATGTATATGCATTGACTTGATGGAGTTTGAGTCCCTTTAAATAGATAGTGAGGATGAAGTTGAGAAAATGGGGAAGAGAAGGAGGTTTGACCTCTGTTCGTATGCCTCACGTGTCAAACTACAAAGACTAATCATAACCATAAGCACTTGTGCTATACGTTACCTAAGATTTGTTTCATTCAATGTGATGTGCGGGAATAATTGTAGCTTAGGAAATACTTTTCTATTTCTGAGAATTTACAAATGTTTCCTTGTTTTTATAATTTTTACTCTCTTGAGTTTTGTCAAAATTATGTACAACACAATCACAAGTCTTTCCTTAGTCATAGACTATTGTTTCACATTATCTGCATATCTGGAAAGTAATCTCCAAAATAACTCAAATTCCCGGAAGATGAACAAGTCCCAGATGGATCCAGTATCCAACCTTCACGTTGGGAAGTTTTGGCTAGTGCTTCAGCAATTGCTGTACAGAAAAAACCTCAAGTTGATTGATAAATGGCAATTTTATATATTTTTATCCTTTTATTTTAGACTTTTAAATATTTATTTGAGGCTAATTGAGTTTAATTAGATATTATTTAATTTTATTAGCTAATATTCAGCTTTGAAATTTTAACTAACTAAATCTTTGATTTTAAAATATAAATAATATCTTTAATATTTTTTGCATAGGTGATATTTAATTTTATTTTATTTGTGCAGATTTTTTTTTTAAGATTCAATTTAAAAGATATTGATAGAGAATATTTTGGATAAGAAGAATATGGACATGCTTGGAGATCAAATCAAGAATTAAATCTTTAAAATTTTGTTTAAATTTATTTTGAATTATTTAGTGTAGTTTTCAATTAGGGTCATTTAAAGTAATTTTATCATTAACTTTTGCTTTGGCTGTACGCATCATTCATTATATATATATATATATATATATATATATATATATATAAAGCAAGGAATAGAGGACGAAAAGGGGAGGATGACTTTTGAAGGAAAAAAGGGACTTTCTCTGGTAGCAACGAACGCAGTTCATTTTTTTTTTTCTTCAATACAAGCGATGGCCTCTCCTATTTTCATCTCATGTTATTTAATTTTTAGTTCTATGAATAGTTAATTTTTTTTGGTGTGATCAATCACAAACTATGATCTTATATTTTAATTAGAGTTTTTGATATTCAAAGAAGATTTTATTTTAGCTTTATTTCAATTTACTCTTCTTCTCGCTGCTTCTGAATTTTATACTTTAACTGCTATTGCTGATTAAAGTAGCTTTATTACATAATTTTTGAATTATAAATTTTATCTGAAGTTTTGCTTGTTATAATCAATTGATATAGTAATATAAGAGTAATTTGGCCTAGCTTGGGTGATTATCCATACTTTGTTTCTGGTGTGGCTAACTTAGAATAATTGTTAGGTTGTGAGTTGAGAAAGATTTCAATTAATCTATAACTTAATTTCTTGTTTAATTCTTGAATGATAATTTAAGAAATAAATAATAAGACCAGAATAATAAAGTTAAATAAATTTAATTTAATTTGTGGATGAGGAAGATTAAATTTAGGTGATTGGGTTCTGATTGATTGCACTGCTTGTTTTTAATAATTTTCTCAGTTGAATTTTCTTTATTTATCAAATTTTAATTTAGATTTTTTTAATTTCATTATAAAAAACCCCCCATTTTTTTTGCTTTTCATAATCACAATTCAAATAGTTACTCTATTGACTTTTAGGGAGACGACCTAAGTTATGCTTTATTGCAAAATCTAATTTTTATTAATTTTGATATTATTTGACAGCAGTGTCATTGATATTTCAAAAATTCCACAACAACAGCGATCACTTGAAGATGTGGTAGATAAGGGAGTAAGCATAATTATATAGAATATCATTTTTGGCATTATGGCATATTCAAATGTTTTAGTCTCACTTAACAGATAATACTGGATATAAAAAATTAAAGTGACCTAAAAATGTAATGGAAGATAAATGAGATAGCAGACATCTTGAAATAAGGCATGAGTTCACTGGGTTTAACAGAAGATAACCTCAAAATACGTTTACTCTCTTGAAATTTCTCAAGATCATATTCAACATAGTCACAAGTCTTTTATAGTCATAACTTTCTTTTCACATGATCTGCATATCTGGGAAGTAATCTTCAAAATAACAAAATGTTCTGAATCCTAAATCATGGACTTTAACAAGTTCAAATGAGGCAGCAGAGATCTAGAAATAATAAAACTTGGGTTCAATGAATGTAATAGATGACCTGACCATATTTTTACTCTCGAGTTTTATTAAAATTATATAAAACAGTCACATATCTTTTATTGATCAGACTATTTGGGAAGTAATCTCTAAAATAACATCAAATTGGCAGATGCATCATATCAAGCTATTGAAATCCCAGAAGATGAGCCAGGCCCAGATGGATCTACAGCCACACCTTCACGTTGGGGGCTTTTAGCTAGTGCTTTAGCGTTTGCTATACCAAAAAAACCTCAAGCAGATATTTCAAAAATTCCAGAACAGAAACCAGTTGAAGACGTTGTACGTGATGGAGTAAGCACTGGTATGCAGAATAACATTGTTGGCATCATGATACATTCAAACACTCAAGTCTCCATGTTCATAATAATAGTTCTGAATTTAACATATAATGCTGAAGATAGAAAATGAAAGTGATCTAAAAATGTGCTGAAGCCTAAATCATGGATTACAATAAGGTTAAATGAGATAGAAGGGATGATCAAACACGGAACAATGAATTTAACAGCACATAAACACATGAAAAGTAATCCTTCTTCAGTGTACCCCTCAGAGCTGAGCACCTCCATCGAGTTAAACTGGTTTTTAAGTAAACTAGACTGTAGGACTCATACTTTACTAGAGTCTAAGGGAGCTACGTTATTATGGCTTATAAATTAGTACAGCTTTCTACATGTTATATCAAATATGGATTACAGGAAAATACTTACTATTGCTACTAGCAGATGCTTCTGTTAACCATCTGTCAGTACTCAATGGTTTTGACCTTCTTTACAATTCAATCCTGAAATCATGTCTTACGTTCATTATTTTACATCTTAGACATTATGGCACTGTGATATATTGCAATGAAATGACGAGGTGTATTCATTGAACAGAGCCTCCGGCAAGCACAACACGCGCTCCTACAATTACAGCAGGTGAAGTTCAAGAACCAGGAAGCAGTAAGACATGGGATATTCTGAAAAGTATTGTGTATGGTGGTCTGGTTGAATCTATTGCAAGCCTTAGTATTGTGGCATCTTCAGCAAGTGCAGATGCTGCCACATGTAAGTCTTAAATCTTTCCTCAATGTTCAGTTATTTGTTCTTACTTTCTTTTGCTTCTGAAATCATTTTTCAACAAGATTACTGGATTAGTGTTCTGTTTAAAATAATTCAATATCTCAAAAGGGGTGCCAAAGGGTCTTCACTTTGATTCTCACTGTCTTGTTATATCAAATCTAACTCCTAAATATTTCTAGGCTTTAAATAAGTCATGACCTTTGTTCACTTGTGGTAATTTAGCGTATCAGCATGCATATTAATCAGAGGAATTATTACATATCATCATAAAGTTGACGGTGTTAATTTTTTTGGTATGATGTGTATCAAGAACTTCTGATCTATATCTTACAGGTTATGATACACGTATGCCAAATTAGTGTCATTTAGATCGGATGACATTCTAGAACACAAAAGAATAAAAGAATAAAAGATTTAAAGATCAGTTTAACACAGGCAAACCTGAGGCACTAGATTGAAACAATACACAAATTAGATGCCCATCAGTTCACCAATTAGATGGCAAGTTTAAAAAATTCTAAGATGTTTTAATTAATAAACATACAACAAAGCAATAGTTATTATATTTGAGTTTATGTGCGTTATTACTTTGATCTAATGATATTCTTCTACTCGTCAAATTGAACTTTCAGTGAGCATTATAGCTCTGTCTCTTGCAAACCTGATTGGAGGACTCTTCATCCTTGTTCATCATGTGAGTTTCTTTCAGCACACACATTTATGTTGAAGCTATAGCTACTTATCATCGATATCCATGTCAATATCCCTATTCAAAGTGTCTATATTTGATATAAAATATAAGGCCATTGTAGTTCAGTTCACACTTTATGTACTGTGCCGGGGGGAAAAAAACCTGCTGGCTTTGAAACTTACACATGGATTTGCAGATCTGGGACCTGAAAGCTGAGGAACAAAGTACAAATGAAGTTGTAGATCGATACCATCTTTCCCTAGGGAAGAGGGAAAATTTCTATCTTCATCTGTGCATAGCCATGTTATCATTCATCATATTTGGGGTAGTGCCACCATTAGCGTATGGCTTGACCTTCTACGAGGTCAACAACAAGAATGTGGCGCTTGCAGCGGTTGCCGGAGCGGCTGTAATATGCATCACTCTTCTGGCCATCACAAAAACTTACATCCAGAGGCCAAATACTTATCTAACATATCTCAAAACAGTGCTTTACTATCTCAGCACTGGAGCTTTGACCTCTGTAATTTCTTACTTGGCTGGTGTTCTTATTAGGGAACTTTTGGAGAAGCTTGGAATTGGCTCTGAGAGCTCATCAGGTTTCACCCTGATGCTACCCGAGATGAGTGTAATTGAGAAGCCTAGATTTGGATCCTACTGATAAGCATTGTGTTTCATAGATAGAGATTAATTGTAATCTGGGGCAATGAGGGAGCTTAGGTTTTGATTGGGGATTTAAGTCTTTTAGGCTGAGATTTATGTTGTAGTAGTTGGATTAGATTGTGCCTTTATTTGCATTGAGGTAATTAGGATTGTTACTCTTTGATTATTGAATTAAAAATTAAGCCTTGAGAATTTTGTTCCCTTCTCTTTCATTTTCTCTTCATGCTCTTCTGTTCATACATCAAATTGGTAGCAACTTTGATCAAAACAAATAATGAAACTTTTTGTTTTGGTCCCTCAAGTGTGCTTCAACTATTGATTTGATCTTTAAAGTTTAATATTTTATCAATTAAGTCCCTAAAATGTTATAACTATACATCATTAGTCTTCATGATTTCAAGCATATAATTGGAAACGCATGTGTGGCAGAACTTTTGATCTAGGACCGCAACCTCTTCATAGATTGTAAAAAAGTTCTAATTTGATGAGATTAAATAAGAATATAAAATTGTGTATGAAATTATAGGGACTTGATTAATAAAAATTAAATTTTAGTTATCAAATTAATAATTGAGATAATTTTAAAAGGTCAGAAGTTTTACTATTCCAATCTCTTATTGTGAAAGACTGTGTTGTCTTCTCATGTTGAAAGAAACTGATAATTTCCCAATACGTGACTCCCACATCAGGTCCTTTGTTTGTAATTTTTTTCTCATCCTGTGATATAATTATTGCTTTTAACTAAAAAAATGATAAATATCAGATAAACTGTATAAAACCTCAAAATAATAATCAATGTAATTCACGCTGCACATTTTGATGATCCTTGCTCCGTCTAACATATATAATAGTAATAATAATTATTACCAAAATATTGTGGGTGTGTCTATCCTTAGGGATGTATATAAAAGCTTTTAAAATATAAGAACCTGTTAAAAATTGACGTAAATATTGAGGTAATGCAAGGAAAGTTACAAACTGTAAGGTCACAGAAGAAAGGTATCCACTTTCCTTTAGCAAACCTCACACTCTAGTTTATTTTTTAAATTAGGAAATTTAGTTTAGCATCTTCAAGAGAAGAAAAAAATCACTGTATCTTTATCTTGCAACCACGAGGAATGGATTGAATTGCTTCTCCGCCGCTGAAGCTATTTTCCTACATCTTTTCTTGACTTTTTATATTCGTAGTCTCTTGATTTGAATTAAAAAATTTTCTTTGAAACATTTTGGAGATATTATAAATTTAGAAAATTTGAAGAATAAACATAATAAAGAGGTTTGCTTCTGCTCTTATCAACAATATTTTGTAGATCAAGACATTTCAAAGCTCCTGCAAAACTTTAAAGGTTATATTATTCAGAAATGTGGTGTCAACAGTTTTGTCTTTTCCCACTTTTTTAGTTATTTTAAGAGACCAGTTTTAACTTTTTCTTTGTAGATTTCATTTTTCTTTTGTTAATATATTTTCTTTTGTACAAAAAAAAATAGCAACAGATTTTTTTTCTTTTGCAAAAAAATTGGTAATTTTTTCTTTACGCTTTTATTCCCCCTCTTTTCTAATCAAGAATCATTTTTTCCACTTGCAAATATAACAAAGACGAATCCACAATAAATAGGTATTTGCTCAAAATGTTATAGATATAAAATTTTATTTTTTTCGAAAGGTGACAAATAAAACTAATTCAAATCAATTTTGATTGGGTAAAACATCATTTTAACAAATTAAACACATATTTTTTTTACTAAATGATTTCTTTTAAATAAATTTAATCAAACTAAAAATTGATTCAATTAACCAACAAAAGTTAATCCAATTGGTAAGAAGTTGATCAATAATCCACAAGATTGTAAAATCAAATTTTGCTATCAATATAAGAATCTTGTTAGCGAGTGATTTGTGAATATTTTTATAAATACTCTCTAAGTTTATAGGCATGTTTTGACCTTGATGAATCTTTAGAATTCAAGTCATCTAAATTTTTTGGTATAAAAAAAATGATTCAATTATGAAAACCAGCTGTTCTCATGGTGGACTACCAAAGCAAGGAAGTTTGGGAAAAGAAAAAAGAAGCCAGCCAATTTTGACTGCTTGTTTAACACGCAATTAAGTAGACTAAATTGATTTAACAATAATATCATAATAATTGTTAAATATTTGATGCCCACCAAATTAATAAATAAAACAAGTTTAATTTGATCAATTGTTACCATTGTTTGTGGGAATACATATTACTTTATATTTTCAAAAACTATCAAGTCTAAAATATCGCATTTGATTAATGAAGCTAAATCATTTGTAATCTAAAGTCTAAATCACACACACACACACACACACACACACACACACACACAAGGCCTCGTTTGGAAATAACTCTCAAATGATAAATCCCATAACTTAATCTTGACTCAATTACACACACACACATCCATGATCACAAATTGAATTGAAAATGAGAAACTAATAATCAACCACCGTAGTTTTCACAAAGAAACTAAAGTCCGCCGTTATGAATAATTATATATGATTAAAAATAATATCTATGCAACATTAGAATATAAAAAGAATTTTTGTTTTATATAGTTATGTTAAATTCAAGTATTGTTAAACCTAATTAAAAATATTGAAGTGATTATGTATTTATACAAGCTCAAAACGAAGTCCTTTTACTTAATCAACTATATATATAAAACATGTATATGTAAAATATGGTAATTTTGTGTAATTTCATCTAACTTGAATATATTATATAAAGAAAAATTACTTTAAACTCCATACAATACATTTAAATACTATAAAAACTATTGACAACTTGACAATATATCTCGAGGTATTTAAATATATTGTGTGAGATTTATATATAATTTCTATTATATAATTAATACTTGACTTTTTCAAGGTAACTTGTGGCTGTATTATTTCTATATAGATAGACATCTAGCTCAAGAGGCTTAACTTTTGCTTTGGCGTGTGAAGTGAAAAGAACGGAACGCATAATGAGGCAATTGAAGGCAGAGACAGAGGTTGAAGAAGTGGGATCAGCTAAACGTTCAAGTTAGATTTACATGCTCTAAGTTTTTTCCTCTTTTTTTTTTTAAAAAAGTTTACTTTAGTGCTTTGATAACTCATTGACATAGATAGATGAAATATCTATATTGGATAATGGTTTTATCTATAGTATTAAAACTTAGCTCAAGTTGGCTAGTTAATCAGTGAAAAAGTAAATCAATTCCTTGATCAATTCGATCAAGAGTTTCTAATGGGATGGATTTGCTGGTTTAATTAGGTTTAATTATAGTTTGGACTACTGACATTTGAATCACTATCTCAACAAATTCAATGACTTATTTGAATTTTAGTACCTTGGTTTTATCATATGAATATGGATCAAATCATCAAACTATCTTTTTTTCAATTAAAACCTTTTAGTATTCAGCTTGGGTAATGAGAAGAGAGATGGTAATAGAGCAGTACTTGTGTGGAAGGAAATCAAATTAGTAAAACCCAAACAAAGAAAAAATATATTCAAATAAGTAATATTATGTTGGAAGAAGTAAATTAGAATATCATTATCTAAAACTAATCATGACATGTTTTTCTCAAGAGATGAACAACCAAATAGATATGAAACATATTTTACTGGGGTAGAAAGCAATATATTTCCTCATGTTCTGATAGTCTACAATGTTCATGTAACACAGTGCTAGAGAACTATGAAACTAAGGAGGATTCTCTGAACAATATGACAATTGAAAGTGAAAAAGTTGACATAATAACAGAGAATGAACGATCAGTGAAAGAACTGTATCTGGAAAGTTTATATCAAAAGCCACCCACACAAGGATTCTATTGTCCCAATTGCAAGGCTTGTGTCCAGAAAGTTTTGATTTTGGAAGAAACTATTCAAGGTGAAGTGTTTCTTGAATCTATTTAGATACTGATTGTTTAGATCATTAATCATGTTGATTATTTTGTGTTGGACTAACATATCCACTCTTGATTAGGAATTGGATATTATATCAAGTTAAGGAGCATTTATTTGATATATTCTCGTTTAATAAGGTTTGGTGATAATTAATTATTGATTGAATCCAAATTTTGAGGCTTTATCTCGGTATTAATGAGGAATATTGTATCGCAATCATCCTCTCATAATGGGATGGATTTACCACGATATAATTTTTTTATTTTATGACAACCTCCCACACTATAAATAAGTACGGTTGGCTGAAGGAGAAATTCACCCCAAAATAGATTACCTTTTTCTCATGTCGCTTTGCTCTTTTCTATCTCTTTATCTTTTAAGGTGCATCTATTGTCCCTCTTAAATAGAATTTTAGTAGATCAATCTCTTCGTGACTTTTGGGTTGAATATTCTACTCCACGACCTGATATAACTCTAACCCAAGCTTCGTTTATTTTAGAATATTTGTGTATTCTTGTATTTCCTACATTTTGCCTGTTGGAAATTAAGCAGCATAATATGCTGCAACAAGATGATGTGGTGGTATTTCATCAACAGAAATTCCAGAAAGTAATAAGAAATGGGAGATTCTGAAAAGCATTGTGTTTGGTGGTCTGATGGAATCTGTTATAAGCCTTGTCATTGTGATATCTGCAACAATCGCTGATTATTCTTGCACAGGTAATAAGACTTGATCAATATCTTATTCAAATTCCAATCTCATTCTTCTTCACTCCTTTTGTTTTCCTCAATTCCTTGTCAAGAATTGCAAGTTAAAAGAAAGAATTAAGAGTAGCATTTGTCAATTTAATTATTACTTTGAACTTGCAGCCCACATTTTAACTCTGTCTCTTGCAAACTTGATGGGTGGACATGTCATACTTATTTTTTATAAGGTGAGTTTGCTCATTCCATGTACATTTATTGTGGAGTAATATGAATCAAAATGTCAAGAAAGCTAGGTTTAATCATATTATGTATAATACGAAATCAACAGAAAGTGTTACTATGATATAATACAACTCATCTCAAATTCTATACATGTAAAGTAAAGCCATCTAGTTATACAAAGGATCTTGGTTACTATCCCAAATTTCTCATTGATATGGTGTGCATTGAATAATATTTTTCACTTCCTGTTTCTAATCAGGTTAGACTATAAATCTATTCGATAAATAATATAAAGCTCTCTTCATTTCATATTACAGGGTATTTTTACGTAAAAAAAAAAAAGGTATTTCTATCTAAATGCATTCCACCAAGAGAAGTTAATCAATTAAGATATCATTTTTTTTTCTAGTTTGTTCTTATTTAATACCAATAATTAATTATTTAATCTAATGATTAGTTTTTTTTTCCTAGACAAACAATTTTGATATACTCTCTCTGATGTTACTTATAAGTTACTTTTAATATGTTTTATTTGAATTAATGAAAATCTTAAAGCTTATTAATTTATCTAAAAAATCAATAAGTTTCTCACTTTGTTCCTATTAAATTTATATTATTCAATGATATACTCCCCTAGACCCCAATATAAGGTATTAATAATTACTTTACAGTATTAAAAAAAAGTTAGATAAAATTTTATCTCTTAAAAAAACTATATTTTTAAATTATACCCTTATTAAATATCTTATATATATGCTTTAATAATGATAATTAAAATTTTAATACATCATTTTTTATAAAAAAATAATAAATGAAGTATGAGTATAATTGAAAAGATAATTATAAAAATTATCTAATACCTTATATTTTAGATTAAATAAAATTTTTAAAGATATCTTGTATTATAGTTGGGAAGAAATAATTTCTCTTACCAACATTAACAAGGGTAGAAGTAAAAATTTATAATAAAAAGTTAATGACATGACTTTTAAATATATATAAAAAATTATTCTTCACTCCCTATTTTGTAGGATATTTTAGGTAAAAAATTTCCCTTAAAATTTTGTAAGTATTAAAATCCAAGTCAACATACGTGATATCGATAAATCATATATATTGATCAATTTAATAAAATATTTTATTTATAATTGATTTAATTACAATTCAAATATAGTTTTGACTATTAACTTTTAAATTAATGTTTTAATTAGTTAATGACCCATCTAAGTTTTCAGTATTTAAGTAAAGTTTATAAGAATCTTCAGCGTTGGAAACTCGCTTTTACAGATGGTAGGACTGAAATCAGAGCAACCAAGAGGCAATAATCAGACAGGTGAATGTCTGGATTGATATTATGAGGTGCTGGGAAAGAGAAAGAATTACTATCATCATATGTGGATTGCTACATTATCATTCCTCATATTTGGGTCTGTGCCGCCATTAGTGTACGGCTTCACAATCTACAAGAGCAACAGCAACAAGACTGTGACGCTCGCAGCAGTTGCAGGAGCTTCTGCTCTATGCATCACTCTTCTCTCCACTGCAAAAGCTCACATTCAGAACCCAAATACTTCTTATCGCACGTATCTCAAAACTGTGTTTCAATATCTCTTTCTTGCAGCCGCGGCCTCTGAATCTTCTAACGTGTATGGTCATTTTGTTTGGAACTTTCTGGAAAATCATGGATGGTTTGCTTCACAGTGTTCAACTTCTACTCTGCTTCTTCCTCATATGAGCTCCTACTAGTTGTGAGCCACTGAACCAAGATGAAAGCTATGAAGCACCCATTTGATTTGTGCGTTTCTGGCATAAGTTTATGGTTTAGGTTTATAGTTGGTTAAATTAATCATTTGGTCTATGTACATTTAAATAAATTATATCCCAATCCTAAATTTTAATTTGGTACAGTTGGATTGTTATACTTGAATTTAATTGTAATTCAATTTCTAAACTTTAACATAATATAACTCTATTTTATAATTTTAACTATCTAAAATATTAGCCTCATCTTTAATAATAAATTCATTCTTTATAATTTTATTTTAAAAAAGTAGGGTATATAGCATTTTAAATAGATAAAATTATAGGAACTAAGTTGTAAGAGTTTAAACTATCAATAATTGAGTTTTAATATATCAAAATTATAGAAATTGAGCTGTACTGAATTAAAGTTCATGAATTAATTTTTAATTGAGTTAAAATTATATAGACCAAATGGTTAATTTTTACTATTTGAGAATTAGAGTTTGTAATTTGAGATGATTGGAGAAACTTGTGATATCTGATTTAATTTGAATAAAGTCTTTGGACTCTGATTTCTATTTGTGACTTAAACTAGGGTGGTGCTTCAAATATGCATTGAGTTAGTTAAATGTTAACCCTTTAATTATTGATAATTGAATAAACAACAGTTTCCAGCCAAAAGAACAAAAATTAAACAATTAAGCTTTGAGATTTTGTTCCTTTTTCTTTCACTCCCTTTCCTTTGGACTGTACATATAATCATGTGTTATTCAATAGTACTGCTAATTAATTCGGATTAGGATATTATGAAGCTCCAAAATACAGGTAATTCTCGTAGTATAATTTTCTTTATTATATTTGGTAAAATTGATCACTTTGTTCATATACTTTTGATTTTAACTCAGTTGTATCACAATCTCTAAACTTTAACTCAATACAACTTAGTTCTCTTAATTTGGCTTCGTTGCAATTCAATCTCTATATTTAGTGTAATTCAATTCCCGTCATTTTAGTTATTTAAAACATCAGTCTCCAAGCCTTAATAATAAATTTATTCTCTATAGTTTTATATTCTAAAATATTAGGTCTAACATTTTAAATAGTTAAAATTGTAAAAAACTAGATTGTAAGAGATTCAAAATTATAGGGACTTATTTGCATCAAATCAAAGTCTAAAAAATGAGTTTTATCTACATCAAAATTATACTCCCTCCATTAAAAAATATAAGGCATTTTTTGAGGAGTTGAATGTTAAAAAATGTAAGACATTTTTAGTCTTTCGAGGTATAATCATTGCCTTTTTTAAAAAGTGCCCCCATTGACAATAACTTTATATTTATTGTAAGGTGTTTAATAGAGGTAAATATAAAAAGATAGAATTAGTTAGAACTTAAAAAGTAGGTAATTACTTTATTAGTGGGTAAGATTCAGTTAAAAATGTCTTTATTTTTTAATAGAGAAAGTATGGATCAAATGATTGATTTTTATTATTTGGGAATTAGAGTTTGTAATTTGGGATGATTGGAGAAACTTATATGGTATCTGATTGGGAATTTGAATAACTTCTTTAGACTCCGATTTCTGTTTGTGGCTTTTAGATTATACATGTAATCCTATGTTATTCAGTACTGCTAATTAATTTGGATTAGAATATTATGAAGCTCCATATAAAAACCATCTACAAGAAGATGCATTTGGCTTTGCTCTTCCTACCATTGCTCCTTCTCCCACGCTTTGCTGCATAACAGCAAAATCAGGACCCAGATTCAATGTTTTATTTTTTTTTATTTTATTAAAATAAAAATATAATAAAAAATTTTAATAAGTCTGAATCTGGAAAGTCTACATTTATTCAATTTTTATAATTTTTATAAATTAACTATTTAAATATATAATTTAGATATAAAATATTTAACTTGTAATTTTTTCAAAAGTATTTGTTAGTAGATATTTAATTTGTAAAAATTAATATTAAATATGAAGCATTTGTGTTTAATCTACACTATTCAGAGTATGTCTATCCAGATTGGTGACTAGATTTCTTAAAAAAACTTTTACAATTTTTTATTTAAAAAATAAAAATATTAAATATTAAATTTGGACTTTTTAATTTGTTGCCATGAAGCATGAGAGGAGCAAGAGGTACGAGGAGCAAAGCGAGTCCCAAGAAGATGATCCAAATTCCAACTTGGGCTCATCCGCCAAATAGTTGGGCCTTGAATTTTGTTCTTGAAGTCAAACCCATACAACATGATAATTGTACAAACCATTGCCCAAAACCATTCATGTAAATTTTTTCTTTTTACATTTCACACTATATCATTCTATGAGAAATAATTATATTCTCGATAAAAGTGATCATTTAATATAGACATTTTTCTTAATAAAATTTAAAATATTATTCATTATAATTTTATTCTATACATTTTAACGATCCTTTACTTATCTAACTCTGTCAAGATACTTTTGCTCTTCACCATATTAGGGACGAAGCCAAGATTAAAGAATAAAGGGGGCAGGGAATAAAAAATATATATTATAAAATTTTCATAAATTTTAAGAAGTTAAAAGTATGTAACACCTTTAAAAATTGGAAAGATCAGAGCTCCTACTAGCCTTCCCTTCCTCCACCACTGTACCATACAAGTTCTTTTCATTTTACATGGTCCAAAATATAGGTATAATCTAATAATATCTAAAACATTTAATATTTTCTCCTCTTTTACCTCACTAAGGCGCTACTTATATGATTAAATATTATAAACAATTCATTTAGAAAATTTAACCTTGACTTTTGATAGTAGTAACTTTTACTTAACTAATTTTTTTTTTTTTGTCATCGTGCACAATATGATGGCCCACCCACCTACCCCCCCCCCCAAACACCCCACACACAGAGCATTAAATACGAAATCAGAATACATTAATATAGTGAACGTAGACGCACACAGAGCATTAAATACGAAATCAGAATACATTAATATAGTGAACCTAGGCAGATTGGTCAAGATCGATTTCCATTTATTTCATCCAATATTTAATAACAAATTATGATAATATTAGATCTAGTATACATTTTAAATAATCCTTTGACCATATTTTTAGATATATTCTTGACCACATTATCCCTACACCAGGCTGTTTTCATACCCATGCGATGGATTGATCATGGTGAAACACGAACATTGATGAGTTATGGGAGGGACATGTCTTTTGTGTTTATTTATTTATTTATTTTGGCAGTCAAAGATATGTTTTATTTAATTGAAGATTATCAATTATGTTCAAGACTTGATTGGACATTAAATATAAGCATATCTTTCAATAAAAACTTAACTCTTAATTAATTATAATGTGAGAAACTTGTCCTTTTATTAAATTCAAATCTTTGGATATTTTGATAGAAGCTTCCCTTCCCTTTATGCTTTTCCTTGTGCACATCAATTGTCCGACCTATTGAAGGGATAAATAAAAGTGAAGTTTCTTGTGTAATTTTAATAATATTTTAATTTTTAATGATGATGTAAAGTAAATACTCTCCCCTATTCTAATGAAGTTTTAAAATCTTATTTGATCCTAAATGAAAAAACAATGGTGTATAGTTAATTGTTTTTTTGGAAAAAGGGCATTTTTGTTGAGACTTAATGTGATACAATTTTTTTCTTTAACACTTGAAAATATTGCATTGAGGCATCCTGATTGAAAAAGTTACTTTAACCTTTGGTTAATCAAAAAATTTATAAAAAAACCTAAAAAATTATAGAAAAAGATTCATAAAATTTCAAATGAGTATCCTATAAAAAATTAATATAGATTAAGTTTTTAAAATAATGGTTGGTCAAAACATATGTATATGATTATTTTTATGTAATTTATGAGACTTAATTGATATTAATTTTCTTATAAGGTATTTATGTAAAATTTTATGAGTTTTTTTCATAATTTTTGAGTCATTTTCTATAATTTTTAAATTAATTAACTGTCAAAGTAATAATTTTTTTTAATGTTGAAGAAGAAAATTGTAAAACATAAAAATTTAGAATATCAAATGCTCTTGAACGAATAGTTGAGGAGTAAAAATATTCTTTAATTTATTTTTTTAATATTCTTCCTTTTTAATTGCACCAAATTACAATTCATAAACATGCTTTTTGTTGTCATTAAATTTGGTGAAGATAAAGTTAAAAAGTCAAATAATTTTTATTAGTTCAAAGACATTAATTAACTATTATTTTTAAAACCGTTAAATTGATTAATTTTACTTTATAATTAGAATAAGAGAATAAGATTCATCGTACAATAGGGCTTAATTTTGAGTGATGCAAGTGAATATGTTTCTAATACTTCATGTCAATTTGCAAGACATTTTAATAAAAATAAATTTTTACTAATGATATTTTTAATATTACCTTTTCAATTATATTATCTTTATTTAATATTTTTTATAAATAGAATATTCATTGAAAGATATTTTTAAAAGTTTGTATTTTTGTATCAAAAAAATAAGGTTGTGAAATATATTTATGAAATTTATTGGTTTGTAGTTCTAAATTATCTTTCATAATTTATATTAATAAAAAATAATTAATACATATTTATGTCGATTAACACATGATATTTTAGTCTAATTTTTTATTTTTATATATAATTATTATAATTAATAATTTTTTTAAAATTATGTGATATATTTTTTTCTTATATATTAAAACAAAGAGTAAAAATATTTTATAAATGGGGACAAATAGAGTATATTAATCTGTTGTGGTGTTGTATTCGTATGTTTCTCCCCTTTCATACCTCAACATGTGTTTCACGGGCACATTTATGACAGGTTGGGATTTAGCTGTTCTTAAATGAATAAATAATAATTTTTATCACTTTCTTTCTTTCTTTCTTTCTTTTTTTTTTGCTTACGCATATGATATTTTAGACAAATCATCTTTTAGATACAACTAAGCTCTTTCCCGTGTGTTGCACAGGTTGGGATTGAGAAATTTAAAAAAAATATATAATTAATGTCATGGATAAGGATGGATGTGAGATTGTTATATTTTCAAATGTTATTCTATACGCCATTTTTCTTCTTGGATATTTGATTTATTAACATTTTATCTTTGTTTCTCGATCCTATAGTAAGTTATAATTTAAGGTTGAAAATATCTAATTTTTTATGATTCCATCATGCATTATTGAGTTACGAAAAGAGTGAGATTTTAATAAAAATCAAATAAGAAGATTGGTTATATTGCATTTTCTTACAATGCATTATTTCCACAAAGAATACATAATATGGATACATTTATTCAACTTTAATATAAAACATTTTGTTTTTCCCCTCATACAACATTTTGAAAAATTTTCTTGTAAACTATATTTGTCATAAATGTCAGTGACCTACATTTGTTCAGAATTGTTTGAATGGATGCCTTCTCATCAATGAGTGAAAATGAAATGTTCCAGACATGATAAGAGGGATTTTTCTAGTTTATGTGCCATTTTCTCAAGACTTTGAAGACAATACACCAAGACATGGAGTCATTGATGTCTTGAACAAAGTCATACTCATCGAATTCCATCTTTGCCTTTTATGATTCAAGTACACAATCTGATTAAGAAGAATTAAAAAAAAGAATAGTTATGTTTGGAAGGAAAGACTGTAAAGTAATAAAATTTGGGGCCTTTTATAAATGCATACAAGCAATAAGAAGCATATTATAATTTATTAAGTCTTTGGAATAAGAGAAAAATAATTCTCACTACATCATTAAATGTAATTAAATTAAATTAAATTGATAAATGACACATGAAATATTAGAAAATGAATTGTTTTAGTTTCTCAAGAGGCACTACAATGAGAGATTTTTGGTTGAAAAATCAATTAGTTACGAATTTAATAGAGGGATATTAAAAGAATGGCTTTCTAAATTCCAATGAGATAACTAATAATTTAAATCTTCAGAATTTAATCCTTCTCAATACTTGAAGTGATTGAGATTTAATTTTTTTATGCCAAGTATTGAAACCGGTATTAGGAATCAAAATTTAATTTTTTTTTCCAATATTCGAAGTGCTTGGGATTTAATTCTTATTATCAAACATTAAAACTGGTTTTTCTGATCTAGCATAAATTTATAATTAAAAATTGATTATTCTAATAGACTGTATTTGAAAAGTTTAGAACATGTGTTCTACCTAAAAGTAGAACCTCAAGAAAGACATTCATCAGAAGACAAAGGCAAGTATAAGATTGGATAGTCAAGACAAGATTACTCATACTAATGATCTTCTAGATTTACAACTATTCAAAGTAATAGAAAGGACTTGCCTTAGCTTCAGTTCCTTGACTTACGTAGCATGCTAATTCATCATTTGTTATCAATTCATATAATTAATAAAGTAAAAAAAAAATGAAGAACAATGGAGACCTCTCTCTATCTAAGAATCTTCTACAGGACTTGTGTTAATGCCATAGCTTTAACGTGTTGAAGAGGGAGTCATAACATGTTCGGGAAGGACTTACAAATAAAAACAGCTTTATATACATATATACATATACATATACACGTATATTTCTAACAACGATCCATTTTGTCACTTAACAAAGAGCCAAAGACTTTGATCAAATCTAACTGTGTGTGTTTTCTTGCCTACCTTCAATTCATTAATTACCCTCTTCATACATTTTCGTCCTTTGGGCTCTACTAACTCTAATTTTGGCATCTTCTTTTTTGATTTAGACTTCACAAACAAAACACATGTACAGTACATAGTTCATATATATACCAAGATACAATTCACGCAAGCCCTCCACTAACCTCTAATATATATATATATATATATATCACAAACATTATATTACATCAGATTGATTATTTGTGATAGTAGGAACAATGATCAAATGTTATACGTACACCAACAATGTTGGAACATGTACTTGCGTTTTGAGTTACGAAACTAAAGCTCATCATCATTAGGATCATCAAAGGGGAAATAATCGGGGCCAAAATGAACAGAATCATCGACCTTGAAATCCAAAGAGCCACAAGAACATTACATTATCATCAGATCCTAAGGGCCCTACTATTGCAGCCTCGGATAGATCTTTGAGATCAAAGTTCCCTTCGATCAAAGTTGATAGACCTGCACAAGCACTAATAGCAGATGAAACCATAAACTGATTTGGCTCCAAACCTATTAATTGAGAACTATGAAATAGTAGCAAGACGTCTTCATAGAGCCTATTTAATACATATCCTGCCACCACAAAACTTCGTGTTATAGGACTTATTTTTCGCATGCTCTGAAACACCTGATTCGCATCTTTTATTGAAGAGCACTTAGCATAACATCATTTCGAATGCTTCCGTAGGCATGGTGCGATCAATACCAGATAAAAAGAGCCGATCCATAGACAGGACAGGGAGATTATTGAACTCAGATGCTAAATCGCTAAAAGCTAGATCCTAAGATGAAATTGGTTTGGTCATGACGAGGGTTTTAGAAATTAAGAAGGACTAAAAAGGGGTTCATGAATTCAGGCAACAAATATGACTATGACTATGAGGTTAGGATCTGCTAAAAAGACAAAAGGATCTACTAATGTACCACGATCACATTTTACAAGCATGAGGATATGATTTTTGAAGCATTAGCTGATGCCGAACAAAAACCCTAGGAGAAAACAAAGCGATGACCTCCGAAGCTTCATTAGTCGATACCGAAAAAAAGCAATGACTTTCGAAGAGCAAAGGAATGAGATTGGCAGAATCGACTTCTTCAGACTCATTGTTCGGGAGAGGAAAAGACTCAGTTCCTTGGAAAAGGAGTAGAGGAATGAGATTGGCAGGGGAAAACATTCGCTGCTTTTGAAAAGTTTGATGCTCCTGTGATGGTAATTAACAATGAGATAGAAAAATAAACAATTTAAAATATATTAAGGTTGATTAAATCAATGATAACCAATCAGAGTCCTTCTATACGATTTGTATTAAATCAATAATGATAATCAATTAAAGTCCTTCTACGCGATTTGTTAATATATATTGATAACAGTCTAGATTAATTTGAATTAGCCTATGATCACGCATCTCGAAAGTAAGAGAGCTGGTGAGAGGACATTTTTTCATAGGGATCGAATCTTTATTAATTGTTGTACGAGCATTTAAATGCTTTTATGGTCCACGTACAACTAAATTGTGTCAGGAAGAACAATTCATGTTTGTTTCACTCTCTTGTTGTGGGACAATTAAATGCTTTACTTTAATGTGTCTGAATTGACATCAACGTGGCCGAATTTACATCCACGTATCCGAGCCAACACAGATTTCCCAATAAATAAATTGGCCTACCAATTAAAAAAAAATTATCGGCAAAAAAATATAATTCAAATTCTTAAAAATTTTAGAATGTAGCAAATTCATATTAATATATAAAAATTTATTATTAAAAATTAAAAATTTATAAGAGTTTATTATTGATATATAACAATATATTATTAATAAATATAATAAACCTATCATAATACAAGTTATAATAAATGTTGGACTATATATTTGGTTTAATCACATAACATGGGTTATATCCGCAAAAACTTGAATTAATCATTGTTAGATTTTTTATGAAATTTCTTAAAAAAATAAATTTAAAATACCAATTCACACAATATAAATTTTAAAATTTTGTAGATAATATATATTTTTACTGACAAAATTATCATATCGATGTCAGAATTTAATCTTATGATGTTATAGATTGTAAACTAAATTTTTATCAATCAAATTAATTGTTGTTGGTATAGATAAGATATTATAACTCTCATGTTATAATTGGAATTCATGCTTTTTTTTTTTTGAGAGGGGAGTTTTATAATGAACCCCTCTTTAAAATGTTTGAAAATAAAAAAAAGATATAAAAGTCAGCTAAATTATGGGGAGCAAGGAGTGTTTGGTACTTTTGAACCTCCAAGTGCTTGTCTGTCTATTTTGGAAATTAATTAAATTGAAAGGACATTTTAGTACTGTAAACCAGCTCGGCTCCTTTGAATTTTGCCTCTGAAAAGTCTTGATGGAGAGGGAGCTTCCCCGCCCCCACAACCCCCAATTTTCTTTTTCTTTTTTTTTTTTAATTAACCAATCCACCACCCTTAATTCATGTCATTGCAAAAGTTAATCTGATACTGATGCACAAATTATAGAGTTTATTAGTATACTTTTCTGACTCTATTTATAAAATATTTTTAACATTTTTTATATAAATTAAAAAAATTTTAAAATTTATTAACTCTGTTTAAAAATTTAATAATTTTTTAACTTTACTTTTATTAAATATATATGCTTTAATAATTATTTCTCTAATGTTCAACGAAAGTTAAATAAAAAAATTACAATAAAAATTTAATAAAATGATTTATAAATAAATAAAAAATCTAATCTCCCCCCCCCTCCCCCACTAAATAAGACAAGAGAGAGTATTTTAGAGAAACCAACGTGGCAACACTTATATGGACACTTAAAAGCCACGCTAAGGGGTGCAACATTTTGGAAAAAAAACTACATGTAGAGTATATAGATTTTGCATCTTTACACCTCCTGCTTTTGATATTTTATACTTTTTAAATTAAATAAAAAATACTTGGGCTTAAAACCTTATTAGTTTGCATCTTTACACCTCCTGCTCTTGATATTTTATACCTTTTGAATTAAATAAAAATACTTGGACTTAAAAACTTATTAAATATATAATATTTTAATGATTTAAATAAGATATGAAAAATATATTTATAATAAAAGATTATATCAACATGTTAGATGTAATTTTTTAAAATAAAAAATGATGATCAATTTATTTATATGAATACAATTTTAGTCCTGTCATAATTATTACTCCATGTGGTTCTATTCAAATTATAGATAGATTTTTTTGGGTACTGTACAAGATTGACATTATCATAAATTTTCTCTTTTGCCCTCCATTTAATATTAGAGAAAAAAAATATATTATTAAAATATTAATATTTAATAGTAAAAAATGTTAGAAGTAATTTATAAATAGGATTGAAGAGTATTTTTAATGATTAAATTATTATTTTTTTTAAAAGTAATTTTTATAATTCAATTATCTTGCACCTCGGAGTCCTGCTACAGCTTACACTTGTGCTGACTAATTTGCATGAAATAGTTAATGCCCACACCTAAATGCAAACATTCAATAGGACATGTTTTGTATAATCATGCTACAGGACCAGCAGCATATCTGCTCATATCTTCTTAAGGCTGTTGCCTTCTTTGCACGTCAATTGGTTGAAGTGAAATAGAACAAACCGCCTGTTTGGAAAGATATTATAATCATTTTAGGGCCTAAGTAATGAATTTTTAAAAAAATATCCAAACAGTAAAACAAAGTTGATAATTAATTATTAAACTAGAATCACGTTTTGAAATAAGTTTTGGGAGGTTCCTTATAAATTTAATTTTACTGTTAAATAATATATTTTATTTTTTAAATAAGTTTAACAAAATTTAATAATATTAAATATAAATTTATCAATAATTTAATTTTAAAAAGCAATGTTCTTTATGATAATTTATATAATTAAAATTAATTTCAATATTCAAATAGATTACATTATAATATAATCAATTATATTAATCAATTATTATCATAATCAATTATACCCAATTGAAATTCAAATGAGCTCAAAAACTAAACAAATTCAAATTATAGTTTATTTAGCATTGAAAATTTGACAACTAGATTGACAACTATTAGAGTGTTTGGAGGAATAATTGATTTTTTAGGCAGAATAATCGATTTTAAAGATAACTATCCAAACAGCTCATTTTGTACTTAAATGATTATTTGGGCTAGAATCGCGTTTTTTAATAAGCCTCTCCTGGCTGCTTTTGTTGATTAATTTTGGGAAGAACTGAAAAGAAACAGTAAATTGCAAGAAAAAGTAATAGTGCACTTCACGTTGTGCAGATATATTAAATAGTAAAACCTCCACATATGAACATGATGGATAATTTTTTGGGAGAATAACAAATAAATTTTTCTAAAAAATAGAAAAATAATAATTTGGTCCTGCAAAATATAATAATACCTTTTAAATTCTAAAAAATTTAATTGTCATAAAAATTTTCAATGAAACGATAAAAATATCTTTTAATTTAAAAAAGTGAAGAAAAATAGTGAGAGGAAGTTATGAATGCTTCAAGAAATTTGCACAGCTAAAATTGATTTTTACTAAATCATTTAAACATATTCAATTTTATTAAAATTAATTTTAAAAAAATAATATCTAAACAGATTGCATTCTAACATAATCAATTATAATTAAAATTAATTATATTAATTAATTTTATAATTAATTATATCCAACTAAAATTTATTGGCACAAATGTAAACAAGAAACATGTGATTTGTAAATTATTAGTTCACAATAGCATGCGATTCAATTGTACCAATATGTATGCAGTACAATCCATAAGAGAATGCGTATAATCTTTTCAATACACATTCTTCATTTCAGATACATCTCATGATATAAAGATATTCAATATCCTTATCATTCACCATCTCAATGTTATTAGTTCAAGCCTACTACATTTATGTTAGGCCAATAAATATATTCCTATTGTACAAGTAAATCAAGTGTTTCAATGTTCGAATACTCAAACCCCACAACTCAATTCAAGGTCTATTCTAAATCTCAAGTGAATCCTAAACAAGTGGGCACAAGTCCAATATTATATTGAACACAATCAACTAAAAAAAAAAAATATTAAAGGAATAAAAGAGCTTAACCAACACACAGCTAACAATACATCTGCTGTGAACATGGCAGCAAAGTCAATCCAGCTCAAAATATATTTTTATTATGTTGATCTTCCAAATGACATTTTTGACCTCATTCATTTTTCTTTAAAACTCCTATAAACATTGTACGCTCTCATAAATTCACCAAACGTATAAGAAATAAAGTCAGAACCCATTAATTTTTCCATGCCAAAATCAAACATTTGTTCCATATTTAACCTTCAAATGCACATTTTCCTGTAATTAACCATTTATCATATAAATACATCAAAATGAAATCCATAACCAATTTAAAAAATATAACATGAAATTCTTTGAATTTGTCAATTGCACAGTCTCATATGGGCCCACTTCTTCCCTTTGTTTCCCTGAAGCATTTTTTACAGTTACCTGAACTTTTCTTGAACCATTTTCACACTTCACATTTATGATTCTAAACTTGTTCTGTACCTCCCACTCGACACAATAAATTATTTTTTCTAAACCAAAAAAAAAAAATGACTGAGTAATATGGACTACATTGCATTCCCCTTTATAAATTGACCTTAACTTGTTACTTCTGTGCTGAACTTTGCTTTTGTTTTGTGCAGTGAAGAATGGCAGAAGTAATGAAGCAATGGAAGGAGGAGGAGGAGGAAGCAGAGGTTGAAGAAGTTGGCTTAGTTAGACAACAAGCTCACATGCTTGTCACCACCATTGCTACTTCAAGCATTGATATAAAAGGTACGTTACGTCCAACATATTTAGTAGTTCCTTTGACACAAGCAAAAATTTCAAAACTTCATCTCCAATAATCAGCGGTTGTGATATTCTGAATACAAGTCTAAATTTGCCTTCTTGAGCTTTAAGTTTTGTTGTTTCAGTCACTGTGTTTCTTCTGCTTGTTCTGGTTTATAAGCCTCCAGCAAGAAGAGATTTAGCTGTTTGTTCCACATAATAGCAAAAAGTAAATCAGTTTATCTGCAACATTTGGTATATGATCTTTATTATGGTGGAGAAGATCCGTGAGCTTGAGTTTTCCGAGTTATGAGGGCTTCTGCAACTTTTTCTTGTTCTTCTTTTAACCATGCTTGATCCAAAAACTATTATCTGAATATTGTTTTCACTTTCTAGGACGAAATGAGCACATGAAGCATGCATTTTTCATAGATTTTTCTAGGTGATATACACAGTTTCATAGATTAAATGGAGAATTTGTAACATTTATGAACCAAATAGTTGAGACATTGTTCCAAGTAAGGCACATTTCCTCATTTTGTAATATATACTCGACAACCTTCATCTAATGTATGGTTTCAGCTACTGAGAAAACAAATGAGTCTTCTGGGCTGAACGGAGGACAAGAAATCTATCAAACAGAAGTGAATTCCGGTGACATCGAGAAGAACATAACTTTACATCCTTCAGATCCTATAATTTCTGTGGATTCTACTTCTCTCGGCAATGTGAGAACTGAAAGTGAGAGAGTTGGCATAATAACAGACAATTTGCAGCTAGTGAAGGAACTATATTTGGAAAGTCTATATCAGAAGACACCAACACAAGGATTCTATTGTCCCAATTGTAAGGCTTGTATCCAGAAGGTCTTACTTTTGGATACAGTGGGGGAAAAAACAAGTGTTCCTGCACAACCTCCTCCACCACCATCGGAAAGATTCAGATGCCCAACTTGCTTCAGCTTCCTCATCTCAATAGGTAAAATAAGGTTTCACTCTACAAAATTCAGATAATTACACACACACACACATAATGGGATATACATTTTCTATGCCTTTAGGCTGTCAAGTAATTCTTCGTTTGCTATTAGATTGAATAAAGTCAGATGCTCGTCATTTCATTCAATATGACTTGAAGTTAAAATTCATATATCTTTTTCAACAGGTAGTTTGCTCTTTCCTTGCTTGGGACCAGGCAATGACGTACCAATTATTCGAGGTGATTTATATACACACACTTACTTGATTTCTTGAATAAGCTTACCATCTGAATAGTGTTGATGCCTGATGGGGTGTCCATGGATTTTGGAATGTTAGAATTAGGCAACATAACAATTTATAAGATATATGTTTACAAACATGAAAAATGAATTTATTACCTTGACTGAAGTTTAACATATGATAACAAGTTGTATACCCAGTTTTCACCAATATTAGCTTCATCAAGGAATCAGAGCAAACTCTCATTTAGGTTCTGAAGGACAAATACGTTCCACTTTTAGTCCTTACAAGATAATTACCATCATTCAACTCTCAAACATAATTAAATATTAAATAGCTTGATCCTGTCATGAGGTCTGCTTTATTTCAATCCATTAATTCTAACGTATAATTTGAATTGAGGTTAAAGGATGGTCACCTTCCTGTATGATGATTTTTGTAACAGTATCTACTACTTATTACATCTCCCTGATGCAAATAAGAAATATTATTCTCTACCTTTGCCATTGAAATCAATGCAGGGGAACAACAGCAACCAGGTCACTCTCAGGGAAAACTTAGTGTTGAAAGAACTAGAGCTACAACACAAATTACAGTTCAAGCCCCTGAGACAAGAAAATGTTTTAGTCTCATTTAACAGATAGAAGGGATAACTCCGCCTATGTTTATAGCCGGTCCCAAGCCCGGGTAAAGGAGGAGGGTTGTGTTAGGCCATCAACAGCCAATGTAAAAATTTGTTGAATCTATCATGAACATGGACAATAGACGTTATAATGTTAATGCTAGGTCGTTGCCCGTAAGTAACGCGCTGCATGGCTCGAGTACAGTGATAAGTGAGTTAGAGCCGCTGCATCGGCGCCCGGATGTAGTGTTAAATGAGCAAGGGCTACCGCGTCGTTCTGGACGCACGCGGCTAAAGAAGTTAGTCCATAAGAGCAAAATTAGATTTGGTACTTGGAATGTTGGGACATTAAATTGTAAATCTGTAGAGGTTGTAGGGGTTATGATTCAAAGGAAAATCAATATCCTTTGCTTGCAAGAAACAAAATGGCGTGGAGAAGAAGCTAAGGATATTCAAGGTTTCAAACTTTGGTATACAGGAAAAGTAAGTGCACGCAATGGAGTAGGCATCATTATAGATAAGGAGTGGAAGAAGAACGTTGTAGAAGTTAGCAGAATTGGAGACAGAATTATTTCTTTAAAAATGATAATTGGACGTGAGACTGTTAATATTGTTAGCGCTTATGCGCCGCAAGTCGGGATAGAAGCCAGTCTTAAGGAATTATTTTGGGAGGATCTGGAGGGGTTGATTCGACACATACCACAGAGTGAAAAGATTTTTATTGGAGGAGACTTTAATGGGCATGTCGGGAGGGAAGCTGGTCAGTATGCGAGGGTGCATGGTGGTTTTGGTTTTGGAGAGCTAAACAATGAAGGGCAAACTCTTCTTGATTTCTCATTGGCGTATGATTTTAAGATTGCCAACACTTGTTTCAAGAAGAGAGATGAGCATCTCATCACCTACAAAAGTGGAGCCTCAAGGTCGCAGATTGATTTTCTTTTGGTTAGGAACACAGATAGAAAACTTTGTAAAAATTGTAAGGTGATCCCTGGAGATGCTGTAACGACACAACATAGGGTCCTAGTCCTTGATGTGTGTATTATGAGTAAAATCCAAAAACGTCGACAAGTAGTAACACCAAGGATTAGGTGGTGGCAATTAAAAGGTGAGAAGCAAGATATTTTCAAGCGAAATCTTTTGGATAAAGGAATTTGGGATTCTCAGGGAAGTGCTAACATCATATGGGAGGATATGGCTAAAAAGATACGGGAGGTTGCAAAAGTAGTTTTGGGAGAATCGAAAGGTCCTGGTCCGAGAGATAAGGAGTCTTGGTGGTGGAATAATAGTGTACAGGACAAAATCAAGTATAAGAAGAACTGTTTTAAAGCCATACATTTGTGTAACAATGAGGAAAATTGGGAGAGGTACCGTATGGCTAAGAAGGAAACTAAGAGAGCTGTGGGTGAAGCTCGTTCTAAAGCTTTTGAAGAATTTTATAAGAACCTTGAGACGAAGGAAGGAGAGCAAAATATTTATAAGATTGCCAAGAGTAGGGAAAGAAAATCAAGAGATCTAGAACAGGTAAGGTGTATTAAGGATGAAGAGGGAAGAATTTTAGTTACAGATGATGAAATTAAAAATAGATGGGAGACTTATTTTTCTAAACTTTTCAATGATGGAGAGGATTCATCTAGTAACTTGGAGGATTTAGTAACTGGTGAAGGAGAACAAAATTTGTCATTCTATCGAAAAATACGTGATAAGGAGGTAAAGGAAGCTCTTAAGAAAATGGCAAATGGTAGAGCTAACGGACCTGATTGTATATCTATCGAAGCGTGGAAATGTTTAGGTGAAGAAGGGGTGAGATGGTTAACTAAGTTATTTAATGTGATTTTACGGTCCAAGAAAATGCCTGATGAGTGGAGGAGAAGTACATTAATTCCTATTTATAAAAATAAAGGAGATATTCAGAATTGTACTAACTATAGAGGGATTAAACTCATGAGCCACACAATGAAATTGTGGGAGAAAGTAATTGAGCACAGGTTGAGATTGGAGACAAGTATTTCTGAGAATCAATTTGGTTTTATGCCAGGTAGATCAACTACAGAGGCGATTTATCTACTAAGGGGATTAATGGAAAAGTATCGTTGTAAAAATAAAGATCTACACATGGTTTTTATTGATTTGGAAAAAGCTTATGACCGTATACCAAGAGAAGTGCTTTGGAAAGCGTTGGAAAAAAAGGGAGTACGGATTGCTTATATTAAAGCCATACAAGATATGTATGAGGGGGTAAAAACTAGTATAAGAACGCCTAGTGGTCAAACAAAGGATTTTCCTATAAAGATTGGGCTACATCAGGGATCATCTCTGAGTCCTTATTTGTTCAACTTGATTTTAAATGTTTTGACGGAACATATTCAAGAGGAAATCCCGAAATGTATGCTCTTCGCGGATGATATAGTTCTTATAGCAGAGACAAGAGAAGAGGTTAATTGCAAACTTGAGTTATGGAGGAGGACATTGGAGTCGAAAGGTTTTCGTCTGAGTAGAAGTAAGACGGAATATTTATATTGTAAATTTGATAAAGGACTATTCGAAAATAATTTGGAAGTGAAATTGGGAGATCAAATTATACCTCAAGTGGAAAAGTTTAGATATTTGGGAGCCATTATCCAAAATGATGGCGAAATCAGTGGAGATATTTCACATAGAATTCAAGCTGGGTGGTTTAATTGGAGAAAAGCTAAAGGAGTTATTTGTGACCGTAAGGTTCCTAATAAACTTAAAGGAAAGTTTTATCGTACTGCTATCAGACCGGCAATGTTATATAGTAGTGAATGTTGGGCTCTAACGGGACAGCAAGAGCATAAAGTTGGAGTAGCAGAGATGAGAATGTTACGATGGATGTTCGGACATACACGTAAAGATAAAATTCGAAATGAGCACATACGTGAAAAAGTGAGGGTGGCACCTATTGAGGAAAAAATGGTAGAAAATCGGTTGAGATGGTTTGGGCATGTACAAAGAAGACCAAGGGAGGCACCAGTGAGAAGAGTGGAACATATAACTTTGAGTCCGATTAAGAGAGGTAGAGGAAGGCCTAAGAGAACACTCTTGGAAGTTGTTGAACGTGATCTCTTAATTAATAATATTTCTAAAAGCTTAATAAATGATAGAGCACAATGGCGTCTTGCAATCCATGTAGCCGACCCCACCTAGTGGGATAAAGGCTTGTTGTTGTTGTTGTTGTTGTTGTAACAGATAGAAGGGATAATCAAACACGGTACAATGAATTTAATAGCATATAAACACATGAAAAGTAATCCTTCTTCAGTGTACCCCTCAGAGCTTAGCACCTCCGTCGAGTTAAAATGGTTTTTAAGTAAACTAGACTGCAGGGCTCATACTTTACTAGAATCTAAGGGAGCTACATTATTATGGCTTGTCAATAGGACAGCTTTCTACAGATATTATATCAAATATAGATATATACAGGAAAATACTTACTATTGCTACTAGCAGATGCTTCTGTTAACCATGTGTCAGTGCTCAATGGTTTTGACCTTCTTCACAATTCAATCCTGAAATCATGTCTTACGTTCATTATTTTACATCTTGGACATTATGGCACTGTGATATATTGCAATGAAATGATGAGGTGTATTCATTGAACCAGGAAGCAGTAAGACATGGGATATTCTGAAAAGTATTGTGTATGGTGGTCTGGTTGAATCTATTGCAAGCCTTAGTGTTGTGGCATCTTCAGCAAGTGCAGATGCTGCCACATGTTAGTCTTAAATCTCTCTTCAATGTTCAGTTATTTGTTCTTCCTTTCTTTAGCTTCTGAAATCATTTTTCAACAAGACTACTGGATTAGTGTTCTGTTTAAAATAATTCAATATCTCAAAAGGGGTGCCAAAGGGTCATCACTTTGATTCTCACTCTGTCTTGTTGTATCAAATCTAACTCCTAAATATTTCTAGGCTTTAAATAAGTCATGACCTTTGTTCACTTATGGTAATTTAGCGTATCAGCATGCATATTAATGAGAGGAATTGTTGCATATCATCATGAGGTTGATGGTGTTAATTTTTTGGTATAATGTGTATCATGAACTTCTGATCTATATCTTACAGGTTATGATACGCGTATGCCAAATTAGTGTCATATAGGTCGGATGACATTGTAGAACACAAAAGAATAAAAGGTTTAAAGATCAGTTTATCACAGGCAAACCTGAGGCACTAGATTGAAACAACACACAAATTAGATGGCCATCAATTCACCAATTAGATGGCATGTTTAAAAAATTCTAAGATGTTTTAATTAATAAACATACAACAAAGCAATAGTTATTATATTTGAGTTTATGTGCGTTATTACTTTGATCTAATGATATTCTTCTACTCGCCAAATTGAACTTTCAGTGAGCATTATAGCTCTGTCTCTTGCAAACCTGATTGGAGGACTCTTCATCCTTGTTCATCATGTGAGTTTCTTTCAACACACACATTTATGTTGAAGCTTTAGCTATTTATCATCAATATCCATGTCAATATCCCTATTCAATATGTCAATATTTGATATAAAATATAAAGCCATTGTAGTTCAGTTCACACTTTATGTACTGTGCCGGGGGAAAAAAAACCTGCTGGCTTTGAAACTTACACATGGATTTGCAGATCTGGGACCTGAAAGCCGAGGAACCAAGTACAAATGAAGTTGTGGATCGATACTATCTTTCCCTGGGGAAGAGGGAAAATTTCTATCTTCATCTGTGCATAGCCATATTATCATTCATCATATTTGGGGTAGTGCCACCATTAGCGTATGGCTTGACCTTCTACGAGGTCAACAACAAGAATGTGGCGCTTGCAGCGGTTGCCGGAGCGGCTGTAATATGCATCACTCTTCTGGCCATCACAAAAACTTACATCCAGAGGCCAAATACTTATCTACCATATCTCAAAACAGTGCTTTACTATCTCAGCACTGGAGCTTTGACCTCTGTAATTTCTTACTTGGCTGGTGTTCTTATTAGGGAACTTTTGGAGAAGCTTGGAATTGGCTCTGAGAGCTCATCAGGTTTTACCCTGATGCTACCCGAGATGAGTGTAATTGAGAAGCCTAGATTTGGATCCTACTGATAAGCATTGTGTTTCATAGATAGAGATTAATTGTAATCTGGGACAATGAGCGAGCTTAGGTTTTGATTATGGTTTTAAGTCTTTTAGGCTAAGATTTATGTTGTGGCAGTTAGATTAGATTGTGCCTTTATTTGCATTGAGCTAATTAAGATTGTTACTCTTTGATTATTGAATTAAAAATTAAGCCTTGAGAATTTTGTTCCCTTCTCTTTCATTTTCTCTTCAAGCTCTTCTGTTCATGCATCAAATTGGTAGCAACTTTGATCAAAACAAATAATGAAACTTTTTGTCTTGATCACTCAAGTTTGCTTCAACTATTGATTTGATCTTTAAAGTTTAATATTTTATCAATTAAGTCCCTGAAATGTTATAACTATACACCATTAGTCTTCATGATTTGAAGCATATAATTGTAAAGGCAAGTGTGGTAGAACTTTTGATTCAAGGACCACAACCTCTTCATAGATCGCAAAAAAGTTCTAATCTGATGAGATTAGATAAGAATATAAAATTGTGTATGAAATTCTAGGGACTTGATTGATAAAAATTAAATTTTATTTATCAAATTAATAATTGAGATAATTTTAAAAGATCAGAAGTTTTACTATACCAATCTTTTATTGTGAAAAATTGTGTTGTCTTCTCTTGTTGAGAGAAACTGATAATTCCCCAATACATGGCTCCCACATCAGGTCCTTTGTTTGTAACTTTTCCTCATCCTGTGATATAATTATTGCTTTTAACTAAAAAAAAAGATAAATATCAGATAAACTGTATAAAACCTCAAAATAATAATCAATGTAATTCACGCTACACATTTTGATGATCCTTGCTCCGTCTAACATATATAATAGTAATAACAATGATTACCAAAATATGTGGGTGTGTCTATTCTTAGGGATTTATCTAAAAGCTTTCAAAATATAAGAACCTGTTAAAAATTGACGTAAAAATTGATGTAATGCAAGGAAAGTTACAAACTATAGGGTCACAGAAGAAAGATCTCCACTTTCCTTTAACAAACCTGACACTCAACTTTATTTTTTAAATTAGGAAATTCAGTTTACCATTTTCAAGAGAAGAAAAAAAACTTATTGTACTGTATCTTTATCTTGCAATCATGAGGAATGGATTGAATTGCTTTTCTGCCGCTGAAGCTATTTTAGAATATTTGTGTATTCTTGTATTTCCTACATTTTTGCATGTTAGAGATTAACCAGTATAATATGCTGCAGGAAGATGATGGGGGGTATTTCATGAGCAGAAATTCCAGAAAGTAATGAGAAATGGGAGATTCTGAAAAGCATTGTGTTTGGTGGTCTGATGGAATCTGTTATAAGCCTTGTCATTGTGATATCTGCAACAATCGCTGATTATTCTTGCACAGGTAATAAGACTCGATCAATATCTAATTCAAATTCCAATCTCTTTCTTCTTCTCTCCTTTTGTTTTCCTTGTTAAGAAGTGCAGGTTAAAAGAAAGAATTAAGAGTTGCATTTGTCAATTTAATTATTACTTTGAATTTGCAGCCGACATTTTAACTGTGTCTCTTGCAAACTTGATGGGTGGACTTGTCATACTTATTTATTATGAGGTGAGTTTGCTCATTCCATGTACATTTATTGTGGAGTAATATGAATCAAAATGTCAAGAAAGTTAGGTTTAATCATATTATATATCATATGAAATCAACAGAAAGTATTACTATTAATAAGGTATGGATAATACAACTCTTCTCAAATTCTATACATGTAAGGCACAAGCCATCTAGTTATGTAAAAGATCTTGGTTGCTATCCGAAATTTTCATTGATATGGTGTGCATGGAATAATATTTTTTCACTTCTCTGTTTTAATCAAGTAAGATTATAAATCTATTCAATAAATAATATAAAACTCTCTCCATTTCATATCACAACGTTTTCAATGCTAAAAAAAAAGGTATTTTATCTAATGCATTCCAACCAGAGAACAGTTAATCAATTAAGATATCATTTTTTTATAATTTGCTCTTCTTTAATATCAATATTACTTATTCAATCTAATGATTAGTTTTTTTCCAAAAACAACAATTTGCTATACTCTTTCCGATCTTATTTATAATTACTTTTAATGTTTTATTTGAATCATGAAAATTTTAGAGCTTTTTAATTTGTCTAAAAAATTAATACGTTTCTCATTTTGTTCCTATTAAATATATATTATTCAATAATATATTCCCTAAATCCCAATATAAGGTATTGATAACTACTTTACAGTACTAAAAAAAGTTAGATAAAATCTTATCTCTTAAAAAAAATTAATCAATTAAGATATCATTTTTTTTATAGTTTGCTCTTCTTTAATATCAATAATTACTTATTCAATCTAATGATTAGTTTTTTTCCAAACACAACAATTTTGCTATACTCTTTCCGATCTTATTTATAAATTACTTTTATGTTTTATTTGAATCAATGAAAATTTTAGAGCTTTTTATTTGTCTAAAAAATTAATAAGTTTCTCATTTTGTTCCTATTAAATATATATTATTCAATAATATATTCCCCTAAATCCCAATAAAGGTATTGATAACTACTTTACAGTACTAAAAAAAAGTTAGATAAAATCTTATCTCTTAAAAAAAAATTATATCTTTTAAAATTATATCCTTATTAAATATCTTATATATGTGTTTTGATATGATAATAAAATTTTAATTCATCATTTTTTAAAAAAATAATAATAAAGTATGAGTATCATTGAAAAGATAATTATAAAAATTATCTACTATCTTATATTTTAATTAAAAAATTTTTTAAAAGATATCTTGTATTATAGTTGGGAGGAAATTAATTTCTCTTACCAACATTTAATAGGACTAGAAGTAAAAATTGGTAATAAAAAATTAATGAATGACTTTTAAATATATATAAAAAAATATTCTTCTCTCCCTATTTTTAGGATATTTAGGTAAAAAATCTCCCTTAAAGTTTTGTAAAATGCTTTATATATAGCATAGTATTAAGATCCAATTGACCCGCCTAATATTGATAAACCATTAAAGTAACATCTTAATGGATTAATAAAACTATTTGTTTATGAGCAATTTGATCATGATTTAAATATGTTTTGATTATTAACTCTTAACTTAATATTTTAATTAGTTAATGACGGTCGAGTTTTCAGAATTAAATAAAGTTTATAAGAACTCTCCAGTATGGGAAACTCGCTTTTACAGATGGCAGGACTGAAGTCAAAGCAACCAAGAGGCAAGAATCAGACAGGGGTGCTGGGAAAGAGAGAGAATTTACTATCGTCATATGTGGATTGCTACATTATCATTCCTCATATTTTGGTCAGTGCCGCCATTAGTGTACGGCTTCACAATCTACAAGAGCAACAACAACAAGACTGTGACGCTCGCAGCAATTGTAGGAGCTTCTGCTTGATGCATCACTGTTCTCTCTACTGTAAAATCTCACATTCAGAACCCAAATACTTCTTATCGTACGTATCTCAAACTGTGTTTCAATATCTCTTTCTTGCAACTGCGGCCTCTAAATCTTCTAACGTGTATGGCTGTTTTGTTTGGAACTTTCTGGAAAATCATGGATAGTTTGCTTCACAATGTTCAACTTCTACCTCATATGAGCTCCTGCTAGTTGTGAGCCGCTGAACCAAGATGAAAGCTATGAAGCACCCATTTGATTTGTGCGTTCTAGCATAAGTTTATGATTTAGGTTTATATTTGATTAAATTAATCATTTGATCCATATACATTTAAATAAATTATATCTCAACCCTAAACGTTAACTTGGTATAGTTGGATTGTTATAGTTTGATTTAATTATAATTTAATTTTTAAAATTTAATTTAATATAAACTCTCTTTTTATAATTTAACTATTAAAACATTAGTCTCATCTTCATTATAAATTTATTCTTTATAATTTTATTTTTAAAATGTAGGTTTTATAGCATTTTAAATAAATAAAATTATAAGAGTTAAGTTATAAGAGTTCAAATGATCAATATTGAGTTTTATAATATATTAACTTTAGAAATTGAGAAATTGAGTGACATCAAATTAAAGTTTATGAATTAAGTTTTAATTGAATTAAAATTATATGGACCAAATGATTAATTTTTTATTATTTTGAAATTTAGTTTGTAATTTGGGATGATTGGAGAAACCTATGATATCTGATTTAATTTAAATAAAGTCTTTGGACTTTGATTTCTGTTTGTGGCTTAAATTAGACAGTGCTTCAAATATGCGTTGAGTCAGATAAATGTAAACCCTTTAATTATTGATAATTGAATAAACAAGCCAAAAGAAAAAAAAAACAATTAAGCATTGAGGTTTCTGTTCCTTTTTCTTTCACTTCCTTTCCTTTGGATTATACATATAATCATGTTGTTAATAGTATTGCTACTTAATTTGCATTAGAATATTACGAAGCTCCAACCTCACTAGGACGCTACTTGTATGATTAAATGTTGTAAACAATTCATTTAATCATAGGAGTAATATTTTCTCCTCTTTTTACCTTGACTTTTGAAGGCAGTAACTTTTACTAACTATCCGTTTTTTTTTTTTGGTCATCGTGCACAATAAGATGGCCCCACACACACATGCACAGAGCATTAAATACGAAATCAGAATACATTAATATAGTGAACCTGGGCAGATTCGACAAGATCGATTTCCATTTATTTCATCCAATATTTAATAACAAATTATGATAATATTAGATCTAGTACACATTTTAAATAATCCTTTGACCATATTTTTAGATATATTCTTGACCACATTATTACATATACCAGGCTGTTTTCATACCCATGCGATGGATTGATCATGGTGAAACGCGAACATTGATGAGTTATGTTTTTGTGTTTATTTATTTATTTATTTTGGCAGTCAAAGATATGTTTTATTTAATTAAAAATTATCAATCATGTTCAAGACTTGATTGGACATTAAATATAAATATATTTTTCAATAAAAATTTGACCCTTTATTATAACGCAAAAAACTAGTTATTTCATTAAATTCAAATCTTATTGATATTTTGATAGAAGTTTCCCTCCCTCTTAGGCTTTTTCTTGTGTATATCAATTGGGGTACAATTTTCTTTTTTAACATTTGAAAATATTGGATTGAGCACCTTGATTAAAAAAGTTACTTTGATCATTAGTTAATTAAAAAAT